GGCGACGTAAACGGAAGTCTCAAATCTGAAGCAATAAAATATGGTCGCGAGTCCCAAGGGACTTGGGCCCGAGATAAATGCGCTGTCAAGGGCCAAGCAGCGTATACCAAAAGCAAACCCGTCCTGTCGTCATAAAGGGCGTCCCTCAAAAACAAGATCGCAACTGTCAAACAGTAATAAATATCTGGTCATTAGCCCCAGATGGGGCTGGACACCAAGACTTACTGACTGACTGACTGACTGACTGACCGTCAGTCGCAATGTGACTTAATTACTGCAGTTACGGTTGAGTCCTGAGACTGCAGTTAGAAGAGTAGGAGGAGGGTGTGAGAAGGCTGCCAGCCAGTGGAGGTACGTACACTGCTGGAAGACGTTACCAAGCAACGCAGTAATGACCGTGACTGAGAACATTTGTCTGTTTGTAGCGATCTATAAATTATAGTCACGATTTGTAAAAGTGTCCAATTAATGTAATTACCAATCCGAACCCCATTTTTCGTCACTTCATCACGTGACTGTACATTACCATTACACTTCAATTTGACGTCAGTCTGAAGTCAGTAATCTAATTATTCTGATTAAGTGGACTTCAGATAAGAGTTACAGATTGCTCTAAATAAGCAAATAGTGAAAGCTGTGTTATTATCTACGTAAACAAAGTTCCTACATTCATTTCACTGTACGAAGATTTATATCGCAAATATGGTAACCATTCATAGAAAGTATGTAAATTGAACTTGTATTAAAATGAGGAAGTGGAGAAAGTGTTAGGCCTCAGAGCAAGGAAGTAAAAGCAATGAACTTATTGCATAATGAGGAGCTTAAAAATTTGTCATATTTTGTTGATGTGTAAATAATCATTTCTAATATTTATTACATTTCTCTCAAAAACACCGTTTCCAAAAAGTGAAATTTGTTGTGTTGACAGGTATAGAATAAATTCTATGTATATTAATAATTTGTACTCTTCATGAGAAGATCAAATAAAGAGAGACAAGAGATAAAATGCATCCTACGAGGAAATAAGAAATTGAAACAACATTTTATTCAGGAAGCCTGAAGAGAAGAGAGCATATGTGATGCTCGAAACTGTTGAACATACTACACTTCCTCGTATAATATTTTTCTAATAGCGATTTTAATATTATTCTCCCATCTACACAAGATTTTTCTCCCATCTGGATTTCAACAAAAATTTTATATGCCTTTTTTGCTTCTCTCCCAGGAGAGCTGCATGCTCCACCCATTCAATTCTCTGTTTTGATTAACATGCTAATATTTACGAAGCTCCTCATTGTAAAATTTCCTCCGTTGTTGTATTACTTCCCCTCGTTTAGACCAATAGCCTCCTCAGGACCACTTTCTCAGATACCGTTGTTTTGCTATAATGTTACACGCAATGTTATTTGCACTTCCTTATGCATATGAGATAATAGTGTTTTAAGTAAACACTATAGATCTATGTTGAATCTGAGACTCTCACAACGGTGGATATGAATATTACGATCTCGTAGTTTGTCACTATGTGTAGTTCGTAGAAAGCCATATGTTTCGAAGAAATGTCGCTTCTATCTTCATGGTAGAAAAATAAGCCAAGAAAGAACCGTGCAGAAGTAGTCGGAAAGTTTGATACCTCTAGCCGTCTCCTTCTGTTGGTATCTTGCTTGGTATATTTTTCGGATATGAAGATGGAGGCCTTATGTTCCTCTGAAACATCGGGCCTTCTGCATATTACACGGTGTTACAAGCCAGAAGACTGTGTTCTGAATTATAGACCTAAATTGGGAAAATATTTTATACTGTGCATTTTTAATTACATAGGCCTATGTAATAACTGCGGTTTAATTTTGATTTAATGAAAAGAATATTTGCATTAAGTTCTGGTGTGTCTCCCCTGTTTTAGTTATCAACATCTGCCCTTCCATCTTATAGCTTACAGAACATAGAGAAATGTTGTGCATCTGAGAGGTAAATAGGTATTCGGCTATGAAACATGTTGACAGGTGATTGATATGAGATTACTATCTCTGGCAAGGTAAATTTCTGCATGAAGATCAGAGGCTCTGTAGCTAGTTTCAGTGATTAATTAATATTTCTATGGAATCTGTAGTTGGCCTCGAACCCCGGGCAATCTGAACACGATACATGCATCTTAGTTTGTGTGAACGGAAACACGAGTGATGGAGGGGAACTCAAGTATTGTGACGTGTAACAGGAAAGCACTTCCGAAAAGAGGGAACTGGAAACGCGAAGACGTGAGTGGCGGGACGTGTTAGGTCTTTCGGCTCAGAAGTTTCTGAAGCTTTCAGACTTCATATTGATGTCTTGTGAATGTGACTCTATACCTGAGTAAGAGAGGCTTTGACTTTTGAGACAGCTTGTCAGGTTCGCTTAACGATATGTGGCGTAAATATTTCGCATCTTAGAGCAGAAAATATTAAGATGTTTGCTACATACTGCGGAAATTACAAATGAAGCACTATCACACACAAATATATATACTACATATATACATATACTAAAATATATGTAGCTGGTCACGGTAGCCGAGCGGTCTAAGGCATGTACTGTCTTCGCTCGCTTGGAAACCGGGATCGTGTGTTCGAATCCCACTCAGGGCATGGATGTGTGTGTACGTTTTTCTGTGTTTGTGTACAGTAAAGGCCTTGCGACTAGCTGATCACGCCCCCCCAAGGAGTCCTACCTTATGTCTAAAATCTAGAAAAACCGAAGTGAACGGAGGGTTTCACGGAGGTAGGCCTAGGTCCACTGGGGCTGTAGTGTCAAGGAAAAAAAAATATGTATACTACAGTTTCACTAGCGGCACGCGGGTGCGTAGTTGGTTGCGGCACTATGCTACAAGCCGCAAGGTCGCGGGTTCGAGTCCCGATGAGGTGATTTTTTTTCAATTTACCTTATCCTCCAACCGCACTATGACCCTGGTGTCGACTCAGCCTCTAACAGAAATGAGTACCATGAATTTTCCTGGAAGTTAGAGGGCGGCCTGAGCGTAAGGCTGATAAATTTACGCTGATCTGTGAGCCGACTGTCTGTAGAATGTGTAAAAGCCTCGCCGTCTCACAACTCTATGGGCCTTCACGGCCTGTACAGGGATAGTTTTGCCTTATTTTTTTCTTTTTACAGTTTCACTCAGTGTTTTGAGAACACATTGAGATAATATCTAAGATATGGCCGTGCCGTAGCTCAAGCGGTTAGTCGCTGGCTTCCTACAGCGGCGGCCCGGGTTCGATCCCGGGTCTGGTCAAGTGGGATTTGTTGGTGGACAAAGTAGCGCTGGGGCGAGCTTTCTCCGAGTTCTTCAGTTTCCGCTGCCAATCTTCATTCCACCAAATTCTCCATCATCATAATCCCCCGGGAGAGGCTACAAAAGGCCAATCAATGGCCGCCGTGCCGAGTGGACCCAGCTGGACTTAATCCCCCACTAAGCGAATTAAAGAGACATCTAACAGTTGGCAAGACTGTTTTCTCTAAGAGCATTTATAATTGAATTCACATAAAATTCTGCTGCTCCTAGTGGTACATCAGCAGTAAGATTAGCAGTCTCTCAAGTTATATATGCCCTCCAGCTCTGTGGTCTAGTAGTGAGAGTTCCTGGCTACATATCCAGAGCTACCGGGTTCGATTCCTGGCTTTACCACATTTTCTGAGAAGTAGTCGGTCCGGAACGGGGTCCACTCAACCCCGTGAGGATAATTGAGGAGCTCTTTCCAGGAAATAGCGGCTCCGGTCTAGAAAGCCGAGATTAATGGCCTTGGGGATTCGTTGCGCTGACCACGTGACTCCCTTTATCCTCTAAATTTGGCACTCGCGGACAAGCGGCGGTCGCTCGGTCGGTATAGTTCGCTTGCGAATTAAAGTGACGGAGTTAGTTTTTTATGTATAAATCAACTATTAATAATAAATTGTAGCCATAATGCGCTATAACATTTACAAAATCTTGAGCGGTGTATCTTTAAATACGTTTCTTATACATTTATTTGCATGAATGGTCTTTTGAAGCAGTGAAGCTCATCAGCTTCATCTCCAGTACTTGTATGAAAGCTGATGCAGTTTTGTTGATACAGGACACAAGTTTGTATTTCTCAGACTTGGCCAAATTAGGCGAGACGCTGCTACTATCTTCAGAATTTCGTGCTCTCGAATGTCCTATATAGAAACCTAGAGATCAGAATATATAATCAGTTTTTCTGTTGTGACTGGTCTCGTAGAAATGGGGCCGGTTTTCACTGAACACTTCGGTTTCCCCTGCCAATTCCGATTCCAGCAACTGCTCTAAAATCGTTAACTCTTCGATCTTCGCCACTATATAGTCTAGTAATTAAATACGCCGTTAAGTAATCTACTTAAAAATGAAGCCTCTATGGGTCTCTGGAGGAATGAAGTAGGTCTGTACTGTTTAATACTAATACTGAAGAAGACCGCAGAATAATCTCGGTCTGAATAGTCTGTTGTAGGCCGATATTTCCAACTTCAACCTCCCTTCAGCCAAGCTGCTCGGTAGCAATGTGCAGATGTAAATGTTGGTATCCATGCGGTCGTTACTTTGGTCTTAGCACCCATAAGACAGTAGGCTGATTAAATAAGAATGAAACTTGTTCTATGACTTCTATCGTGCAACTGTATCCTAAGAATTTAAGGCGCGTCCACATTACTCGTGCTCGTGCTCGCCTTGCTTGTGCTCGTCGGGAGACTCGTCTGGATTTTACTTGAGCTCGTAAATCTTCATCCACACTACTTCATTTGCTCGCCGGGCTTCGGCGTGTGAGGATCCGTATATTTACTCGTAGTGTGTGTAGGCTGTAGTCGTATTTTAATTTATTGGCTATAGTTTTTAAATTAAAAATTTGCTTGTCTCGTGACTTGTCATATTGTCCAAATTACTCGCGAGCATAGAGAGTTACACGAGCATGAGCACGAGTAATGTGGGCACGCCTTCAGGCACATGATCGCCGATTGCAGAACTATTCAATGTCCTTTACCTGGGTAGTATACTAATCGTTTACTGACGCTGTACTGGGCCTCTGGTATATGCAGTTCGCAGGCGAACACTGTGGGTGTCTGTAGATCGCTGTCCTGCACCACTTTGCTGGCCACGATATCATATGAGCCCCGTCGAGGTACCGTCTCCACCAGCACGCCGTCCATATTTGTCCTACAAAATCACATCTCTATTAAGATCGCTTGTAGTCTATATGGGGGCACGCGGTAATGTAGTTGTTTGAGGTACTATGCTACAAGTCGGTAGGTCGTGTTTTCGATTCCCGAACAGGTCATTGGATTTTTCAATTGACCTAATCCTTCCAGCACACTATGGCTCTGGGGTCGACTCAGCCTCTAACAGAAATGAGTACAATGAATCTTCCTGGGGGTAAATGGCGGCAGGCGCGTGGGACTGACAATGTAACCGTCATCTGTGAGCGGATTCGCTAGAAGATTTGGGAGCCTCGACGTCTCACACACCTATGGGCCTCCACGGCCTGTTACACGGACAGCTTTACATTGTAAAATAATTGCAAAATTTTAAACAATTTCCTCTCGATTTTATATGTCTGCTTAACCTGTTTACTGCAGATACAATAGTATTACTTTGAAATGAGACCATTAACACTCAAGACACTCAGATGTTGGGAGCTGTAAAATTGGTTGAATATGGAGGAAGAATTTCCCCCAGAAAGGTCGATATATGCTTACAAGACTACACAGCGACGAGTGTCATAACGCAGGTGACCTGAATCTATTTTTTTTACTTCAGATCTCTCACCCTACACCTCCTCTATCTACTTATGGGTATGTAATTCTGTTTGCACGGCTTGCGAAGTGAGACACGCGGACAGACGGGAGTGACTGTAAAGTTATAGCTGTACGTTCACTTTAGGCCCTGCATGCTGAAGGGCTTAATAAATTAGGCTGTGAGGCAGAGATAAGGGAGGGTGACATGACTGTAATATGACAAAAATACGAGAGAGCGAGGAGAGGTGAACGCAAAGTTAATTGGTTTTGACACGACCACAACGTGATCGTTGTGGCACAGCAACTATAGAATAAACTTGAAAGGCAAATTTTGTTCGCTAGAATATCCTAGATGTCAACACTAATTTTTATTCCGTCATGAAAATAAATTTCCTATCGAGTGTTATAACAGAAAAGAAGAGAGAGAGGTGGGCCTGTGTTGTTGGGAAAATTAAAGGCTGAAAATTAGGGTGATGCCAATATTTTTATTGGAAACTGTTATTTACTTACTTACTTGACCGCGCCATATCTTAAGCGGTTAGTCACTGGCTTCCCACCGCGGCTGCCTGGGTTCGATCCCTGGTCTGGTCAAGTGGGATTTGTGGTGGACAAAGTGGCGCTGGGGCAGGTTTTCTCCGAGTACTTCGGTTTCCCCTGTCAATCTTCATTCCATCAATTGCTCCACAATCACCCTCACCTATCATCTGGGGCTGGTACAATAGGCCAGAAGTGGCCGCAGTACAAGGGACTTACTCCCACCCCACTAGCAATAAAAAAAATACTTACTTACTTATTCATGGAGCTCAGCCCTTCTTGAGGAGCCGCCAATTCTGCAGCTACTCAAGAATTTCTCACTATTTAATGAAACCGGAACGTTTATCACCGTGTTCATAATAGCCTTCCACTGATACCTATCCTGAGCTAGATGAGTCCAATCCAGACCTTCCTATTCTATCTCTCTAAGCTCCATTTTAATATTGTCCAGTCACATATCTCTTGGTGTTTCCCTTGGTCTCTTTCTTTCTGGCTTTCTCTCAAATATCCTAAGTGCCTTCTTCTTCTTCTTCTCCACCATTCTTTCTACATGCCCTGCCAATCTCATCCTTCTTCACTTGATCATTCTAATTATACTTTACTTTAACCTTAAATAACGTAATTTTAAACCCACTGTTTAGGCAACTTAATTTCTACAAGTATGTTTTGGAACATTATCCATCGCAGATTGAACCAAACACCACATACAAGGAATCCGCCCACGTGTCTCTGGTAATCCATCCGTTGAGTCAGCCCCACTTGGACATCTCTCCTATCTAGAATCCTATTATCATGGCAGAAGTCAGAAAACTACAGTTCCGTCCAGTTGGAAATTTTGTGTTTTCTTTTTGTTGCTACGAAACAGAGAATTTGCCTCGTTAATGATAACTTCTGTTCTGATAGGACTCAGATTTTATCAACAATAGCCGTAAAATTGTGCATGGACAAAAGTGATAGACCTCTTCAGTGTAGAGTTTCGTTTTAATATCTTCAGTATTTGTCATAATTTTAGCAGATGGTTTGTGCTATGCTTGGTTTTGTGTTAGTTCAGGTGTCCGGAGAATGGGAATAGCTCTATCTATTGGGCCCAACTGAGTAAGTTTTACCTGAAGACGGAGACAGAATCTATCTTTCGAAACGCTGTGTTTTCAATAAAAATAGGAGGGTGTATAGTGTACAGAAATGCAACTATTTCCATCATCACTTGTCTCAGCTATGCCAAAACTGCTTCTCTGTACAGAATGTCCACTTTTTCACATCACATAATAACTGCGATATTTTCTGATTTAAAATATTGGATGTTAAATCATAAAATATCGCAGTTAATTTGATGTGAAAAAGTGGGCATTCTGCAGAGTGGAAGAGTTTTGGCATAGCTTAGATATTATAAATAAGCATCCTGTTACACTCTACACAATGTATGATACAAACTCCGTCCTTAGTGCAACAATTTATTGTAATTTTCTTCTACACTACATATTTCGACCGTAAATGGCCATAATCAGGTGTATACTCACACGTAGCTGTTACACTCTACGTAGTTTAAAATTTAAAAACACCACCTTTCTTAATTGTTCATTTCTCCGTTGTCACTAGGTCCCGATATATCAGAATCCCCTTGCTGATATTTGTCAGATATGTATAAAATCTTTGTTAATTTACATACATCAATTTGATTTTTGAATTTTGGTATTTTTAAAATCTTCAATTTAATTTTAAATTTTTTAAAGATTAAAGTTTCTAAAATACGTATTAAAGATAAGCAGCGGCACGCACACAGAGAGCCTACACAGAATAACACCTGAACAGTGCTGAAAGCAAGAAGTAGCCGCTGCAGCACTGTAGACCTAGAGCAGGTATCCCTGTGAATTTTAAATTTAAAAAATTTTTAAATTTAAATTGAAGATTTTAAAAATACCAAAATTGAAAAATCAAATTGACGTATGGAAATTAACAAAGATTTTATACATATCTGACAAATATCAGCAAGGGGATTCTGATATATCGGGACCTATTAACAACGGAGAAATGAACAATTAAGAAAGCTGGTGTTCTTAAATTTTAAACTACGTGCGGCGTAACAGATACGTGAGAGTATACACCTGATGATGACCATTTACGGCCGAAACATGTTGTGTAGAAGAATAGAAGACAAAAGAACTACAACAAATTGTTGCACTTAAGACGGAGTTTGTGTCATACAGAGCTTAGATACATGATGATGGCTTTTTGAGGCCGAAACATATTGTGAATGGAAGGAGAGAGGGAAATATTTGCATTATTGACGGAATTATATTCTGTATATAATATATATTAATGCAATAGGCTGCTTAAATATTATTATATATATAATATATAATATTTGTATTAATGTAGCATCGTCCCAGATTATTATGTCTGAGAAGTTTCTGTTTTAATTTTTGCCAAGGTTTTGGATGAAGCTCTAATTATTCTATTTTAACCTTAATTTAATTTTGTCGTGTTACGAATGATTGTGACTGATTATTCATTTCATCTCGGATCCATCATGTCAAATCCTTGCTCATACAATATTCATAATTATTTTCCCATCTGTTTTGACGTAAAGTGACCTAAGTAGTTAGACAATCGTCATCAAAAGAAGAATCAGTTGATATGAAGCATTCGGTTTTAATGAGTAAGCCTACACACCAATGTATTCTCCTGTTGTGCCTTCGTTAAATTCGCCTTGGTTTGTAGAACGTGTGTACTGTAATAAGTACTTCCTAGAAAACCGAAAAAGTTCTTGAAGCAAATAAGTTACACGGTTTGCCTATTCTCCATCCAACAGAATTCGTTCCATTCGGGAAACCGTTGTATGGAGGTTCTGCCGGGCGAATTTAAACAGCCACTGTTTATGAGCCTACAATTTAAAGCTGTAATGAGTTATCATTTATTTATTTTTATCGAATGTTTCAAAAAGACGACTGATACCGAAATTTTGTGGAAAGTCTCATTAAAAATTGCACGAAATTAGTTTTATATTAACGTGACCTAATAATAACTACCATTGAAAGAGCGGTGTCAATTATTCATTTCTGAGACTCAATCAATTACGGTCCATTAAATTAATAATTGTGGCCACAGAGAGTTTGCGGTAATTTCAGACTGAAAAACAGAGGTAATTCAATTATAGCTGACAAGCTGAACTGTCAGCCTGGAGTCTGGAAACACGATTCGAACCTATTCAGTATAAAGTTTGATTGTTTGTGCCACCAAACGCTGCTGCGGCCAACGTCTCTCTGTCTCATACGAGTGACAGATATTGTCCATTCTCTGAGATATAAGTGGTATACCAACGCGATATTTTAGGAGTTAGTGCTGCTTGCATCTTCAGGTGATAAGTTGTCACAGTGACAGATTTATCATTTTTTTTTGTATTAGTGGCAACAGTGGAACCGAATCTGGAACATTTGAATTCTCAGACCGTACTTTACGCACTAGATCTCCGGGCGAAGGCAGCTAGCTTCCAAAATGCTCTGTACTCATATGTTGAACCTGTCTCATAGAGTGAACAGTTTCCAACATAACATTCAGGCAGCAAATGGACGACTCTCAGAAATATTTAGAAAATAATATTCTCGGTAGCTGGCACGTGAGTCTAGATTCGAAACTTGGAACTTTAGAATATGAAAGAAGACTATTTACCAGGGTTCCAGTGTGAATGTTAATGCAATTAAATCACACGATCTACAATTAAACAAGCATATACCATGGAGATATGAAACGAGTAACTCCGGAAAATTTGTGAATAATCCCTAAGGAAAACGAAAAAGGATGTTTAAACTGAACGTAGTAAGGTCAGATAAATTTGTTCCTGTGCTTAATAAGAATCAAGCCAGGAAGAGGCATGGGTATCCTCAGATATAGACTGGTATTAGATTGGTGTGCGTAGTCAGCTTAAAGTTCCAGTCGCTTTACCTCAAGAGAAAAGCCACCCCCTCCCTCCATACCCACGGAATAGGAGGCTGATTGAGGTCCTGCAGGGAATTCGCCTAGCCCGAATAGATCACTTTATTGGCCGAGGCGCTGCAGCTTTCACTTTAGAAATTGTGTTTAATTCATTGATTGACTGATTGATTTTCACTGAACTGGTGGGATCGAATCCAGTGACGAGCTATATATATAGCATTGTGTTTATATCACACTCGTGCGAGTTACCGACTGAGTTCTCGTGCCTGATAACGGTAACGAGCTACAGAGACTTGTAACCTTTCAGTCTTACTGATACAGTGAGTGGACTGAATTTTGTACACATTTACGAATGGTCACTGAAGCGTAGCCTTCGTGTATTGGAGCTGATTTCCCTAATATTACACAGGGTTACTGGGGCTTTGGACTTTTCCCACCGTCCAGAATTCTAGATAATAGAGGACTTAATCTCNTACTGATACAGTGAGTGGACTGAATTTTGTACACATTTACGAATGGCCTTCGTGTATTGGAGCTGATTACCCTAATATTACACAGGGTTACTGGGGCTTTGGACTTTTCCCATCGTCCAGAATTCTAGATAATAGAGGACTGAATCTCTTTCCGTCTTCAGGTGAGAAAGGAAGACACCTACTCAGTTGGACCCCCTTAAAAAGAGCTAATATCAATCACTGGACATTTCTCACCTGAAGACGGAAACTGGATCTATTTCCGTCTTCACGGGAGAAAGGAAGACACCTACTCAGTTGGACCCCTTAGAAAGAGCTAATCTCAATCCAGTGATTTAAGTTTTCTTTGACAGATTCTTACAAGCGGTCGCTAAANAAATTGCGAAGTAGCTTATGCATGTAATATTTTTTTCATTGTTTATTTGTTAGGAGGTCACCGGCTGTTACTTTCCGAATAGCCCTCGTATTTGGATGCAAGGAAAATGTCACTGTTTATATAGTGTATTATTATAGTGCGCATGCGTTGTGTTCCTGTATTACGACTTACTTCTTTTTGCTGCCCCGAAGGAGCGCCATCTTCGGCTCCGGGTACACACCCCGTGCCGTGCATGTGATTTGCACAGAGTCGAGGTTTGGTTTGGTCTGCATCATATCCAAACTTCTCTCCGGAACTGCAAGACATAAACCAACAGACTATAAGCATACATATAGACAACGCTGCAGATAATATTTATGGAATAAAGGGCCACTATAAAGCTTAAACTGTGGTCAGATTTAGTAAAGATGTGTTAATATCGAAGCAACATTGCATATTTGAGATTTTCAAGGCTATAAAATTTTATGCCATGCTTTACTAGATTATTAATTCATTTATCAGTCCCCTACGAAGTTATACGCTTATTTGAAGGAACCTTCCGCCTCCATCTTCGGGATATTCATAGATCTCTTGCGGGTCTAATGGGAATTCTAATCTATAAGACCACATTCTAGACGTGATGTTTGTTCACTGCATGTTAATATCAAATTCACACACCGGTTTCAGACTGAAACATGCATAGGCAGGAATATTGCATATTGCTTTTAAATGTGGTAAGAAAAGTAATGAAAAATACTTAGATATTTGTCTTCAAAGACATTATAAATATTTGCTCACGTCCGTTTAATAAACTGTACAAAAGATACTGCAAAACTCTTATATTTTTTCAGAAATAATACAACTTCTTGAACTTCATAACATTACTAGTACATTATGTGTACGTAGTATTACGTACGATTCACTGTCTTTTCAAATGAATAAAATGTTATGGATCCATTTCAAAGAAAATTATCATTTTGTGATTAATTACATTAATATAGGCACAGTATTTATATTTCAGCTATTAGACGCATATTCATAGGATAGCTTTGTAGGATACATGAGTTTATAACGAGCACATATGAAGAAGAAGCGCTGGGACGTGCAGCTACTAAAATCGTGTACACGCAGGCGCATGCGCATGTAAACTTTCAGACAGTTAACATTTTACTCTAAAGATACAAAGAAACCTGTTTTCCCGGTTAAAGTCAACGAGCGAGATTGTGTAGCTAATGAAAATGTGGGTGTGTATTCAAACTATATTGATTCAAATATACTCATATTTATTTGGGAAATAAAGTAACTTTTTAAGAACACAAAGCTGTAGGCATGCATGTGTGTGTGCCTTTATGTTCCCTTTACAACATCTGAACTAATTAACTGATTTTAACCAACCATAATACTAAAGTTACGGCAATAGGGGTCGCCCAAAGTCTTACTTTTAGTCTCCTTGAGTCATTAGTAAGAACAAAGTGGGCCACAGAAGTCGTAAGGGCAAGCGACATTAGCGCCATGTACTGCAGCTTCTGGAATCATGTGCGGTAATTGATCATACATTGCTCGTTAACTTAATTTTGTTGAGTGTAAAATAAAAATATGACCCCTGACATAACAGAGATGAAAGTAATCTATTTTGAAATGAATGACAGCAAAATTTTTCCGATTTTCATCTTACTTGTAATATTTTTGTGAATCAGTTCTGATTTGCTGTTCATACATTTTTAACATTGTCGTCATTAGGCCGAGCGGCCTAAGACATGTACTGGCTTCGTTCGCTCGGAAGCCGGGATTGTGGGTTCGAATCCCACACAAGGCATGAATATTTGGTGTGTGTATGCGTTAATTCTGTGTTTTGTGTTATCCTGTGTTTAGGTAGAGGCTTTGCAATGAACTGATCACTCGTCCAAGGAGACCTACCGTCTGTAAAATGATCATGAAATTGAGAAATCAGGCCTGTGCTCCAAAGTGAAAGCAAAAGGAGAGAGAGAGAGAGAAAAGAAACAAGTAAATGTGTAAAATAATAACAGTATACTCTCAGATTTAAGTTATGATATATGTTATATTATATTATATATAATATATATTCAAAATCGCGAGAAGAGCGCTGTGATAGAAGATATTTACAAGGATGTGCTACAGAGGTCCTGATGGGCTTTGCATAGGCCTTTTTTGTATTTACATTTATTTTAGACAACAATAAAAACGACATAAAGAAACCCCAAAGAAATTGTTATAAACCGGAGAAATAGACGAAGGTATGACTCCAATAGTTGTGATAAAAAGCAATCTTGGGCGAAATTATGGCAACGACGCCGGTTCTATACTGCCCTCAGGCCTCGCGTCACACAGAGAAACACTCCAGCATTTAAAACGTTTTAAATATGGAGGCCATTGTTCCCGAGTCGAGGGAGAAGGCGCGTAAATACATCATTGTGCTGCACTGTAATTAAAAGTGGGTTCTGTCTAAATTAAGTTGACGCGCGCTCACCGTGTATGTACGTGAAAATTACTTGTGTTCGTTCTTCAGCGCTGATTAATGCGATGCTACGTCACAGAGCTCGTACAGTCTGCTCAGCTACTGCATTCACCGAGAGCCACACGGCAAGCAGCTGTGCTGCAGCGACTGGCTTGGATTCTAATTCCAAATGAGAAATACGCATTAAGTTTTATCTCCCGTATACAGCCAGAGCTTGTCAGAAACGCACCTCTGTCTTCTGTTGCATGCAGCTTAAAGCTCCAAGTTCTGCTTCTTGACTAATACAAGGATTTTACATACGAAAAATATTTCTATAGTCATATATAACTTACCCCCTCGTTGGTGTCTCCACCCACTTACCGCGAATATTACAAGTACTGGATAATGTGGGATAATTCTTCACATTAAATACACGGTGCTGAGGCTTTGGTGGGATCTGGAGTGCACATAACATCCTGGTCATCCCGAAGGAATGCCTGTGCGTAGGCAGAAGAATAGTTCCGAAATAATAAAGTAGGATATGGAGACGTGGAGGACTGCATCCATCCGAATCGGCATAGCGACCAGTGGTGGGCTGTTTGCAACCTCATAATGAATAATCAAGTTTTATGTAAGGTGTGCTAATTCTTGACTGAACGAGAGAATATTGGTTTCTTAAGAAGGTCTCTTCTCCCCATTATTGGTTAGTTCAGTGGTTCCCAAACTGTGCGCCGCGGCGCTCTAGGGCGCCGCGAAATATTTTTGGGGCGCCTCGAAATATTCAGATATTTTCACTGAAATGACACTGAGCCCGTGTGGTTTTAGAATCGGACCATCGATGTGTTGATGCGATGATAGGATGGACATTTAACGGACACTGTAGAAACCACTAAATTGCTAAAATTGCTCAATTGCTAAATAAACCACTATTGCTTTTCAATAGCAATACTACATGGCGCTCGATGTCAGAATTTTAATAGAGTCTATTAAACTCTGGATTGTTCTAGTCACTGCAGTGCATAAGACAGTTATTGCTCAGCCCGCTGCGCGAAAAACGTGAGTGTCGCTCAGTGCATCAATGTGAATATAGTGACTGGATTGTTCTAGTTATTTATCGAACTTTCTCGGTACTTGGTGTTTGTATATTAATTGCTGTCTTCGCGCCCTTGATTTATTGAAGATCGAACCAACCTAATGGTGTTGTGATCAAATAAACTTTTAAAAGTTGTTGTTCTTATCTTCCTAAAAAATGGACAAGTTTTTATTGAACATTAATAAGCATTGTAGGAGTGAAAATAAAGAGGACGCACCACAAACTAGTGGCGGGGGCGTGACGAAGCGGAAATGTCGTAAATATGACGATAGTTATTTGGATTTTGTTGGCTTTACATCGACAGATGTCAACGATGAAGAGAAACCGCAGTGTGTACTGTGTTTGAAAGTTTTGGCACCAGAGTGCATGCTTCCAAGTAAGCTAAAGCGCCATTTAGAAACCAATCATCGAAACATGGAAGGTAAACCTCGCGACTTCTTTACCAGAAAGTTAAAAGAATTAAAACAACAAAAATGTACTTTTTCTCAGCGTGTGTCAATACCAAGCAATGCCTTGCTAGCATCATACAAGGTTGCATATAGAGTCGCGAATTGTAAAAAGCCCCATACCATCGCAGAACAGCTAATTCTACCGGCTGCTGTAGATTTGGTGAACATTATGATCGGTGAGTCAGCGGGGAAACTGCTTTCAAAGGTGTCTTTGTCTAACTATACTATCAGTCGCAGAATCCAGCACATGGCGGAGGATCTCAATGATCAATTAATTGAAAAAATAAAAGGGAAGGAATTTGGGTTGCAGCTGGATGAGGCCACGGACAGTAATAAGGATGCACATTTGATTTGCTATGTACGGTTCGTAGATGGTAATGACATTGTGGAAGACCTTTTTTGTAAATGTATCACTGCAAGTACAAAGGCTCAAGACTTGTTTGAGATCCTGGACATATTTATGGTTGAAAATAATTTGTAGTGGACAAAGTGCGTTGGTGTCTGTACTGATGGTGGTCGTTCGATGTCCGGCCGTTATGGAGGATTGCAGGCGCTTATTCGAAGCAAAGCTCCGGATTCACTGTGGACCCATTGCATCGTTCACAGAGAAGCACTCGCGTCAAAATATGTGAGTCCTCCACTGAATGTGGTCTTGGAATGTGTGGTGAATGTGGTAAACTGTATAAAAACTCGGCCAGTGAAAGCAAGGTTTTTCAAAAAATTGTGTGAGGATATGGGAGCCGAATACACGTGTTTGTTGTACTACTGCCCCTCGCGATGGCTCTCTCGTGGCAATATATTTTCCCGTACGTTTGAATTACGGCAGGAAATGTACATTTTTCTTAAAGAGGAAAAACACGAGTATGCCAAAGACTTCGTGGAAACAAATTTTTTGATAAAGCTATCATACTTGTGTGATATCTTTGAAAAGTTAAATGCGTTGAATCTCTCCCTGCAGGGAGGCAACGCACATTTTGAAATTGGTAGCGAAGATTTCAGCTTTCAGAAAAAAATTACAGCTATGGAGAAGAAAAATGAATGAAGACGGTGGCAAAGATTGCTTCCCCTTGTTGCAGCAGTCTGTGTTCTCCAATGAAGTTGATTTCTCTCACAACGTAAAATCTGTTTTTGAAGAGCACCTATCACAGCTTATCAACTGGTTTGAAAAATACTTTCAAGAAGATAATATCGACAAGTTCGCATGGATTCAAGACCCAGTCAGGGCCAAAGCTTCATCTGAATTTACTTCTGTAGAAGAAGGAAATCTTATCGAGCTGTCTTGCGACAATACACCGAAGACAAAATTTGGCAGCGTGGAA